CCCAAACCCTAAACCCTGAAGCCTTGATGACATAGCTGCTCCGGTGGCTGCCCAGGTGCAATGAAGAAGACTAATCGGGGCAGCATGCTCAACATTTTGTACTCCAACCTCTGTGCCAAGAGTCATGTGGTGGCAGGCATGGTTTAGGGATTATAGGGCAGAAGGACCCTGCCATGCATCAGACGGGTCTCAGGTCACGGCCCAACACGCTTCCGCAGCATTTCCCTGCATGTTGGGATGCAGTGGGGGGTGAATGGCAGCCATTTGAATTTTGCTGTCCATGCCTGTCGAGGCCACTATCATCAGCATGGAAGTAGTCCGAGTCTGATGCGAACACTTTGGCAACGCCTGAGCGTCCGAAGCCATGCACGTTTAGCAAAGAATGAAGGCATGCAAAAAAGGGGCCTAAATACTTAGGATCAGGTTTTGCGGTATAGTATAGTAGAACTATAATAAGGAACCCCAAAATAGTATTGGTAATGATTTAGGCCCCTATATTATCCCGCAGGAGCCAGAGGGATGAGCCTGCTTGTTCTTGTCAAGGACACAAGCGCTCCTACTTCTATTTCTATGTGTCCAACTAAGCAAAGCCGCTGGCAGAACTGGGTCTTTCTGGAAGTTTCCCAAAAACATGCCTATTCAATCCCTACCAAGGCTCCCGATACCCATCTATCTCCTACCGAATAGGGGGCCTAAGCAACTACCAATACTATTCCTGGGGCTCCTTGTTATGAATATAGTACATGCAATATACCCCTAAACCCTATTCTACTTAGTCAGGCCCCTGTAACTTACCGATATTATTCCTAGGGCTCCCTTGACATAAAACATAGTACACTATTCCCGCTAAAGCCCTATTCTCTGTATTAAGACCCCTATAGGTTCATCCCTTCGTATCCCTACTTGGAGGTTCATGGGTAGTTATAAGTGGAGTTATAAGTCCCCTAATATAGGTTATAACTATAGTTACCCTACTTAGAAGCCCACTTATAACTACCCATGAACCTCCAAGTAGAGCTACTTCGAGGGGCCCCCGCATCTTGGGAAACTCTCTTCTGCGTGAGGCGCCCCTTTCCACGGAGCGCTGATTGCGGCTGAGACGGTCACAGGAATAGTAAGAACCATAGTAGCAATAGTAGCAATAGTAGTAGTAGTAGTAGTAGTAGTAGTAGTAGTAGTAGTAGTGGTAGTAGTAGTGGTAGTAGTATGTGATAACGCCAATAGTAAAACCACAGCAATGACGGTAGTTGTAGTAACACTGCTGATACCCTGCCTGACCTTAGTTCCCAAGGTATGGAGCACTTAGGGTCATGCGGGATCCGTAGTATCAGACGTTGCAACACTGGCACAAAGAGCAGTGTAACCACTAGGTGGCAAGCCTTTCTCATGTAATGTACGGGCCCAACTAATTTCGAACATCATTGGAAGGTTTGTTTGAGGTACCCTACACCGCAATCATACAAAGAATCGAGGACCACAATGTTGGTGGCTCCGATTAATCCGTCTACAAACCCAGTTTCAATGCAGTTCTTCATTTGCTTTCCAGTGCTGCCATCCACATTTTGTACTGAGTTAGGCGCCTAGTAAGCCCCAAATGGGTAGTTCTCGAAACTAGGGTTCCTTTTAGAATACTTCTTGTACTACATTGGGGACTTGAAAGAGGCCCCTAACTTAGAAGACTACCCGAATGACAGGTCCCATAGAACCCGCTCTGGAAGCCCGCCACCTCCGTTCTGCGAGACCACGCTGGTTACCACCTGGCGACAGCGATGCTGCATGGATAACGGCTCGGGGATATATGAGCTGTAGTCCACAGTCCTTGTAGAAGGATATATAAGGGATCATACACGGATTCTAGTATAGGGCTTATTCAGGGGGTTACAGGAGTTTAGACTATAGCCCATATAGGGCTTAATGCTCACACATTGACGTAAAGGTTCTATGAGGGCTATAAAGCAATAAGGCGAGACATCTACTCTAGGCACTTCACTCCTCTCAGCCTAGAGTTGATACATACTTTGGGCCGAAAGCCCGTAAATTTAGCAGTTTCCCAATCACGCGGTGATTCCAGTATTTGTGGATCTCCCACAGCCTCCGCGAACACGGATGCCCGCTGCGGGGTTTCCGTAGTCCTGCCACAACGGCGGCTCAGGCAGCTTGCGCATGAGCTAATCACCTCCCCTAATGATGACCCCCATTATAATGCACACCTCCAGCATTGTACCAGTAACAAAATCAGGCACCACTTGTTGTTGGGTCGGGTGGGGGGGGGCTCATTGTTCAGAGCATGCACCCCTAAACTCTAAACCCTAAACCCACATGGAAGCTAAGACCATCCAGCCTGGGGGTTGCGTCATCGCCATCCATGCCTCGGCGTGCACTCTTAACCTGAGAGGAATACCTCTGAGCTCCTCTAAACCGGGGGGGGGCGGCTCGGGACCTTAGGGGGTATATACACCATATATAGGGACTGTGGCAAGGACTATAATGAGGTCATAGGCGTCGTTGTTTTACGTGGGATTCTACGGACTGTTGAAAAAACGGCACCCGAACAAACCTGGCTTTGTACCGTTGTTGTCCTTGCAGGTCCAACATGCTGATGGCAATAACGCAGCGCGCGCAACAGCTGGGCCGATCATATGCAGATGAACCGAGCATTTGTCAAAAGAATCCTCATAGGAACCCTTAGAATGTCCTTCTCATCCCTATTTATGTGTATATATATATATATGTGTAAATATTTCCCTGTATGGGTCCCTACTGTAGGCCCCCACCTCGCGTCGGAAAGAAACTCCTAACACCAAAATGATAAGATAAGCATCCGAGCTGCGGCTGGCTCTGGCTGTGTGCTGGCCGCACACTTTGGGCTCAGCACCACTCTGTCTCTTTGAGCAGATAGGGCGAGCAACCGGGGGAAGCAATGCGCGTTTTTGAGCAGCTCTCATGAAGAAAAGGCATTGAAGCAACTCCAGAAGACTCTTTTTCAGGAACTTGGGAGCTAGAGTCTGTCTGTTCATCTCTGCAGAAAGCGTGTCATAAATATCCTGGGGCACCTGAAGCCCAGTAAGATAAGGACAAAATCGGCACAAAATGCAGCGCGGGGGCGCTCATCAGCTGCAAGCGAACACCTCGCAACCATGTGGAACATGGCCGGCCTATTACTGTTCCCCAAATGGAGGCAATTTACATTGGGACCCGCATTATCATACTGGTAACCCTACAATAAAAGGACCCGTAATTATCGTTAAGTTAGGCAGAAACTCTTGTATTGGTCGACTTCAGAAATTGTAGGAGCTGGGCTGAACAGCATCCGCATCCATGCCTCTTCCGAACGAGGCACTGCAAGTCAATGAGCAACGGGAGCCGGAAACATGTGCAACCCATGCCGTGTATCTCTTCATTGCGGCTTAGGGTCTGGGGTTTTGGCTCGGGGTCCCTGACCCTAAACCCATTGCTGAGTCCTGTACCCAATGCGTCCAAACCGTTTGTTTTGTTATTGGAGGCTTGGGCTTGGGCTTTTGGGTGCAGGCCCCAGCGTCTCTTTCTGACTCTCAGGTTCGGTTCGTCACATGAGCTTGCACAGCAGATCTGTTTTCCTTCAAAGTGGAAAGTTCCTTTCGAAGATGCGTCGTGCTTGTCAGGGAATCTCTCGAACTGAGAAGATTGAGCCACGGCTGCCGCAAAAGGCGAAGAAAACAACAATGGCAAGCCATGGGCAAACATGTCTGCCTGCTGGCTAGCATGTGAACGTCGAAGCGTTTTGTTAGCTTCATGCACATGGGATTTCTCGAATAGCCTTGCACTGGCGTGCTCGAAGAAGGATCATGGTCTGTGACCAGACTCAAGGTTGAAATGAAACTGCGCAGGGCGTGACTGCTTTCAGCCGGAAGACCTGCCGAGAACCTTGTCGCAATAGCATTGCAATGGTCTGCTTTGCTTGCCGTGAAGCATCCATACCAGCATTCTACACGGAGTGGCACATGCAAAACGATTGACACTCGAAGCCCCTAAATAAATGTCGAAACCTCGTCCTGTGTAAGACTGAAACAACCATGATCGGAGTTGGCCGGTTCTTACTTACTAAGTAAGAAACAGTCTTACAAACATTGTGAGCACAAACGCAGCCTGAAAATCTTGAGTCCTAGAGTTCGAACCATCACACCTTGCTGTCCGAGGCAACAACTCCCAAATTCCAAACCATATGATCGCTGACATCCCCACCACCCGAGCTCCTTAACCTCAGATCCCAGGCCCCGTGCTTGCCCGCTTAGAAGTTGCCCACGAACTCATTCGAGCTTTAGGATTTCAGGATCCCTTCCTTAAGCACGGCAAGCAGACTTGCGACAAGATGTATGTTTGCATGTATTATAAATTATATTGTCTTCGTTCATCGTCTCTGTGCAACTGGACCAGCCATCCTCAGCCAAAGATCGGCTTGTCGAGCAGGTCACCTGGTGATTTCCCCAGAGAGACGCTCCACGGACGCAGAGAATATCCAGCACTCGATCCATCTTGATCTAGAACCTAGACGGGAGTGCCTGAACCTGACCTCACGATGCTAGTTTGGATCTGGGGGAGTCCTGCCGGGCCTATTGACGTGCCAACTTTTAAGCCTGCCAAGCCCGCACATTTGGACCCCAAATCTATGCATAAAGATATCAAAGTCGGAAAATTTAAACTGTACAATGTCACAACAAAAGCGTGTCAGTGCAAACAACAGCCTCAAACGCTCACCAACAAGTCGTAGAGCTCTGGTACGAGGAAGCCTGCCCTTCCCGTGCTCTCTTTGGCTTTAGACTTGCCCTGGCTAGGCTTTCTTGGAGTGCTTAGGTGATCTTGTGGAAGGCTTTCCTTTGACGAGGTTCTTAGCAAAACCGAGCCCTGGACCCTGAAGACAAGAACACCTCCGAATCTTCAAACCAAGAGCTCGAGACATTCCCAAAACCAGAGCTTCTAAACATGAGCCTTAGGTTTGAAACCTTCCACCTAAGGCAAACGATCCTTGCTTTTGGGATCTGTTTGACAAGCAGACCGGTACCAACACATCTCAAGCAATGTCAATATCTTTCAACAACTTGTTGATATTGTGTGCAGCGGCGCACCCGGCTGGGCCGTGCTCAAGCGAAGATAGGCTTGTCGACCAGCTCACCTGGTGAACTGGCATGAGAGTCGGTCACTTCTTGGAGTTTCCGAAAATAAGGGGTACCTTATTTTGGGATCCTTCTAATAGGGATCCGATTATTTAGGGTGCTATATTAGGGTCCCCTATTTTCGGAAACCCCCACTTCTTGATTCAGACTGGAGTTTGGTCTGACTGTGAACCTGGGTTGAATGGCTTATCCTCCTGGGATCCTCAGAGTGTTCAGGTCGCTGTTTTGCCAAGGTTTCGCGTGTGCCATTCCACTGCCCGTGCGATGACAAGAAGCGCACTAAGGCGACAAGCTTCACGGTTGATCATCAAACCCGAGAGAGGATATACAGCACCGTCCAAGTGCTTACACTTCTAGCTGTCGCACAGGACCTGACGGGTGCAGCTCGTTCCACAACAGCATCGGTCGGCCGCACAATGGTTCAACTCATCGGTAAGCGGATCCACTTGCTGGCCTGCACCGCGGGCCCTCTCAACGTCGTAGTAGAGGTGTTGCAAATCTTTTGCCTCAGCCGCAGGGGGCCTCTGCTATTCCCCAAACACCGTGGCTCCACCGTGGGGTTCTTAGGTCAAGGGTGCAGAGGATGTAGTGTATTCGTACGCACGGCGCCCACAGCCGGTGCAGGCTTGAATGCTAGTGGCCGTGAGGTCTGCGCTGGCAGAACTTGAGGGTCAGAGTTCAGGGTTGACGCCGGTGGTTTCCCACAACCCCTCCCGTTTCCGTTTGACTCCTCATTGTCTGCTGCGACTTGGAGTGATTGTTTGTAAGCTTCAGTCCGTACCTGTCCGACAACCTGAACTCCTGAACCCCAATGATCTGCAGATTTTTGGATTCAACTCTCAAAGAGTCAGACTCACACCCACAGAATCGCCTGTCGCAGTGTTTGTTGTCTGAGCTTCTCTGCGACGATCCAGACACGAAGCAGCAGCCGGCCACGCCAAGGCTCGAGATTCACGTCGCCACACGACATTCGGGCTTACTGTATGAGATAGCCTGGAAGATAAAACGACGCCGCATGAAAACTGGATCGTTGTTGCAATGGGCATCTCATACTCCATCGTCATAAACTGAAGTGGCTATAGGAGCAACCATAGCAACATTGTTGAACACACGACGTGAGAAACCAGTGCGCAACTTAAGCATGGTGCTTTCTTGGAGCGAATTCCTGTCATCATCTCGTGCAATGTTTTGGGCGAATGAAACCAATCTGGTTTCGGCGTAGCTCTGTAGACCTGACCAAGACATAAACCTCCTTTGAGGAGGGCTCCTGCAAGTATGGCCCTCGCAGTAGTCGGGGGGCGTTCACAATTAGGCATCCGCGTTCGGCCTGCATTTCTGAAAGTGTTGTTGACCTGCGCCAGTGCCTGATGCTCCCCTACACCTGGCTGCGCCGCGAGAAGGGTACCACAAGCAAAACCCATCCAAGGTGCCGTGAGGTAATCCTGTAGCAGGAACTGCACCTCCCCGATATGTTCCAGACCGAGACCATCGTGCCTGCTGCTACCGACAAGTTGAAAGCAGGAGCCTTTCAGCACAAAGAAGATCCCAATAATACCATGCATTCTAAGATTTCTGCCCGCGAATTTCACTTGTTGAGGCTGCGCGGAAGGAGCTGTTCTATCTAGGCTATTGCTTGCAGCATGCCACTTCGGGGTGATCCTTTGGGCTAGGGTTTAGGGTGCTGGCAGGTGCTTTCCAAGACCGCCATCAAGATAGTCTCAACTCCCTGTCAAATGTTCCAAACTAGCATTTTCCTACACTGAAGCTTTGTTGGAATCGTAACCCTGCCCGCCTGATACGAACATTCACAAGGAGGTTGGTGCGAAGGTCTGTGGCCAATGTGTTGTCACCGAACTTGTTCTTGACCCTGACGACCTCACAGGGCTGGGGCTTGGGATTCCAGTCGCAGCTCATCACTCATGGTCGTTTCGGCTATCACGCAGGGCAGTTCGAAGGGTCTAGATCGACGTCGCAACTGAGGCATCGCCATGCACAACCTGTAGGCAGCTGTGCGCTTTCGAAATCGCCGTAGGTTACGTAGGCAAAGCATAGTTCCATGTTAAATATGCCGAACATATCGCATACTGAGCAGGCAACCTATGTGTAAACCAACACCAACACCAACACCAACACCAACACCAGCACCAGCACCAGCAACAACAAAAACTGCAGCCCCGTCAACCCATGTATCTGCTTGTTATCTGTACACCAACTAGG